AAACAACAAAAAACCTTTCCGGGATTTTATATTAAAGATTCTGTAGCTCAAATGGAAGAGTCCTGAGATTAAAGTAGTCTCTGCTCCACTTCACAACAGTGCTGTTATGTCAGTACTGACTGGATAAGCTGGGACATTGCAGGAAATTCAAATTTATTTTTGAAAACTATTCAAATACACATATTCCCTCTTGCAATGTAACTCACAGCGTCGCAACCTTGTCCTGTCTACAAGAAAGCTCCAGTTTGGAATAGTGATAAAAATGTTTTCAAAAATTCAATATCTTGTTTGTAAGATGTGTAGTGTCAGCAGCAATAGATGTTTTACTAAGCAAAAAGATTAAATACTTCATAAATAATGATACAAGCCCAGAGATAGCACACCGCTTCACAGTGCTTTGCAGCCTTCTCTAAGTGGTTTAGAGTCAGCACTTTGCCCCCAACAATCTGGGTCCTCATTTTACCGACCTCGGAAGGATGGAAGGCTGAGTCAACCTTGAGCCGGTCAGAATCGAACTGCTGGCAGTAGGCAGAATTAGCCTGCAATACTGCATTCTGACCACTGTGCCACCACCATTCTCGGTGGGGCTAAGAGGGCCCCGATTAGTAGCTAAAAAGAAAAGTATAGGTAACTCCTATATTTGCTATTATATGTTCCATGAAAAGATACAGATCCAATTACAAAAGTTTTTGCTTTCTGAGAGATTTCTTAAATCTAAAGGGCTACTTTTTCTAGTTCAGGCACAAGTCTTAAAATCTGGAGACAGTGCGTTCCAGTGCTGCTTAGGCATAAAAGCTGGGTGACTTTAGATCCATCACTAGGAGATGGTGAGTTCTAGCCCTTCCTTGGGCACAAACGCTTAGCTGGGTCTCTTTGGGACACTCACTAAAGCAGCAGTGAGTTCTAATCTTGCCTTAGGCAGGAGAGCTGAATGTCAATGCTGCTAACATTGGATGTTCTTGGTTTGACAACATATGGAGATGCAGCCTTCTTTTTTCTTATGCTTTACTATTAGAATTAGATGATACTGGGGGAGGAGGAGGAATGTGATGGGAGTTAGTTAGACATAACAATATTGTAATAGTGTGTGAACTCAGGGATTTTGAAATAAGAGAGGATAAGAAATGGCGGAAGGGAGTAATGGAGGGAAAGCCTGCATTTCAAACTAATTGGAGAACGTGATTTATGACTGTAAATTAGAGGAGGGAATTGTGCTTTGATACTATGTGTTCAGGGGAGGGGAATTCAGATTTTGGCTTCAACTATGTTAGTGCCAAAGCTATGCTACTCCAATAAAGATTGCCTCGAAGTTCTTTGAAGACTTTGTCTGTCGGAACCAATGACACTGACTGGATGGCTTTAGGCCAGTCCTTCTCTGTCAGCCCAACCAGCCTCAGAGGGTTGTTGTGGGAAAAATAAGAAGAGGAAGGGGTACTAAATATCTTTTTGTTGTCTTACGTTATTTCTCAAATCAAGGCAGGATATTATTATTATTATTATTTAAAAAAGGGCTGTCTTTTCTCTTCATCAACACAGCAGCTGTAGTACTGGAATACACGGACTTTCTAAAGATGCCTAAAACAGAACGATGGGTTGCACAAGGAGATCAAGGTATGGTTGTTAACTTTCTCAGGATGTCCTTTGCTGAAAGATTCCAAATAAAATCTATCTGCAGGACCCAGAAGGGAGCTGCAGGCTGGTGTGTGCAAACCCGCCTTGCCTTGGCACGGAAAGGAGATATTCTCAACCTAGCCAAAGTGTGAAGAAGACACCGCCTTTTGATCCGGCTCTTAAGACCCTGCCCAAAAGCGCCACTGCTTCAAATGAGGTCATTAACCAAGGGCCTCCTGGGAATATCGCATCCACACAAGCTCCCTTAATCCCTGTTAAATCCTCCCTACCCATCTTTCCCCCCCTCCTCCTTTGCCCTCGCCCTGTCCTTCAGCGTCACCCTCCGAAAAAGCAGCGCCATCTAAGCTCATCCCCGGATAGACATTCCACAGCCAAAAGGGTGGTTTCGAAAGAAAAAAATAACATTTTTTCCCCTCGTTGTTTGTGTGTTTAATTTATATAAAAAACGTCACTTTTAACATTGACTGTACAAAGCAATTAAAAACAGGAGGAAGAGCGTCCCACAGCAGCGAGTTTTAGTGTTTGATCTCGGATCACATTCTCGGAACGTTAATAAAATCAGGTACAAACAAACCCGGATTGGATCCGCAAGCGTACTGGAGAAAGGCATCTCTGCAAAAACCTGGCATGATTTAAAAAACAAACAAACCAAAAAAAAAAAAAAACGCATGGGGAGGGGGGAGGAATCTACAGAGGTGAGGTTGAAACAATTCTCAGGCGATTCAAGAAGAAAATTAAAAGAGGAGATCGGATCCTGACTCTCCGTCTGCAGCATCTTTCGACTTTCTGGATGGGGAAACAGCCGCGCCTACCTCTTGGGATCAAAGGAAGAGCGCCGGGAGTGCTGAGTGCCAAGCCGCACGGGTGAGGATTCCCTGTAACTCTTCAGAAGAAACACACACAATGCACATTCTCGAGCTGTTTTAGGAAGGAGCTATTTTAAAACCCAGGGTGGAAAGATGGCTGCCTCCTGGATCACCTGTTCCCCACGTCGCTCCAGAATGCCAGGCCTTTGAGTCAGCGATTGTGTCCTGCTCCATTTTGAGCAGGCGGCAACAGGTGGCCAAGGCCGGGCGGACATACCCCACAAATCTCCCGGCTTCTGCGCTCCCTGTCCTTGGCTTGGCACTTGCTTTCTTCACAGGCCAGGAAGAGGCCGCCGGAGGCTTTATCCCCCTGCCCTTGACCCGTCCCCGCCACCTGGCTTGAGCTGGTCCGAGTGCTGGGACTCGCTCGGTCCTTGGGTGCCAAGCAAACTCCAAGCAGCCGAGGGAGGCATGGGGGTGCCAACCAGGCTCTTGTCCCCAAAAAAATTTCCAGAACAAAATGGGCGATCAGCTGTGCCCTCGGGCACTGAACAGCATCATGCAGCCCGCTCCATCTGTGGCACAGTGAAGGGCCAATTCTTCTGGCTGGAGGCTGCAGAGAGGGAAGGCAGCTTGGAGAAGACGCTAAAGGGGAGCCATGGGGATTGGAGGGGGAGGGAGGAGTTGGGTTGGGTGAACTAGCTAAAACCCCCGAGAGAACCCCTTGCACGGGTATCATCAAAATTCAAGTGCTGCCTGGCTTTTGTCACTTTTCCTCAGTTTCCTATCGAGTTCTTTCCATGTCAATCCGGGTCCTTTAGAGCAGTGTTTCTCAACCTTGACAATTTTAAGGCATGTGGACTTCAACTCCCAAAATTCCACAGCCAGCATTGCTGGCTGTGGAATTTTGAGAGTTGAAGTCCACATGCCTTAAAATTGTCGAGGTTGAGAAACACTGCTTTAGAGCAAGGCTCTCCAGCCCCGGCAATGTTAAGACTTGTGGACTTCAACTCCCAGAATTCCTCAGCCATCATGGCTGGCGGGGGAGTGCTTGGAGTTGAAGTCCACAACTCTTAACACTGCCAAGATTGGAGAGCCCTGCCTTAGAAGACTTCTAGCTCAGACTGGAAGAAAAACCCACATCCGCAGAGGAAACAGCTGGCTGGCGGGAGACATAAAACCAGCCCAAGCCAACCTCTGGCCAGAGGGCACCAGAAACAGCCCAGAAGCCACACACACACACACACAGAGCAAAACTGCAACTCGGTTTGAAGGAAGACTCTGCCATGGAACTACTAGAGGACAACATTGAAGGCAGCGGCTTAATGGACAGACATGATCTGGTCGATTAGGGGTTTTTTAAGCCGCCTCAGCTTGAAGATTTGGGGGCCTGGTGCACCTCCTTCCAGCTTTTAAGAAATATACACCTCTGCCTGTTCTTGGGAGAGACTCCCACCACTCCAGGGCTTCTTGGCACAAGGCGGAGGAGCTTAAAGAACGGATTCCCTCAATTGCGAAGGTCATCGTGGAGTCTTCTCCAAACCAGACCTGGATCACAACCCCAGCAGGTTGGAAGACCATCAATGCACACTGCAGTTGGCCGAGCCGATGCCAAAAGCATGCAAATATTCCCCTACGGTCCAAAAATTGTGCGAAGGAGGTTAAATCGGGAACTCTGGGTGGGACTTTGCCCTCTACCTCTCAGCTATGCTTAGCCAGGTGGGAGAATATTCCGTCCCTCCCAACCACGATCTTTTCTGACTTGTGAAGTCTGATATACCTGACCCTTTTGCCTTCCTTTTCTTGAAGGCAGGGAGGGCTCCAGCGTGACCTGCCGCTAACCAACTCCAGATGTGGACCGGCATTAGGCCCCCCCTCTGGCCCCCCACAAGCAGGTAATCCCATTCAAGCCTAACTTTTGCTGTCTGTGCACTTGCTACCAGGAACGTCTGGAAAACTTCAATTTAAAAAAAAAAAAGGCAAGGCAAGGCAAGGCAAGGCAAGGCTTCCCTCCTTTTTAATCTATTAATCTTCATCTGTTCTTTCTAGAAAAAAGGAAGAAAGAAAGAAAGCTAGCTCAAGACTCCTACCAACTCTCCAGGGTGTTAGATCATTTCACCTCCTGACCCCTGCCAGCCCCCCCCCCTTCTGACTTCAATTAGCCCCAGAATTCAAGGCCCAGCGCTGCTATTTACAAGACATTTCCTTTCCCTCCGTGGCCTTGGCTTAAAAAAACAGGCCGGAGGTGCAGGGGGGGGGGAGGAGGGGGGGGGACAGCAGGCAGATTTCACATGGTGAGCTAATTTCTTTATAAATAAAGCCGAAAGACATCAAGTGGCCTGCTGCTTCCTCAGGAGCCCCAGGCAGCCATAGTCTTCGTCCGGTCAAAGCGGGACTTCGTCTGGGTCACGTCGGTCCAACCGGGGTCCCGTTTTATGCGGGGTTTCCTTTTGTGCACGTAGCACCACCGGCCATCCCCTTTGGGAAAACCAAGGATTAAAGGGGCAGCACGCTGCGCTCCATATCAACCCCCTCCCCCAAAAACCCCTTCCCTCCCCACCCCAAAAAAGAAAACGCAGAAGAAGAAGAAAATTCACGCCCTGGAGGCTGCTGGTCCTCTCCTGGCAAAGAAGGGGAAGACCTATTGCATTCCGGGAAAGCTAGCGTGGTGCGCCCCATCCTTTCCTTCCGCCTGGGGTCCCGCCACACTGAGCCGGTGCTTTGCAAACCCGTGGCCGATGCGGTGGGCGTGTGGCCGTCGAGGTGACAGAGGAATGGGTGACGTGCGTGTCGACATCTATACATCGGCAAGCAGGTGCAGGTGCATGCGGTGGGAGGAGACTCCCCCCTCCCGGGGGTGCCTGCCCCGCTAAGAGATCTTGCAGTTGTTCCGCGAGCAGTTCTGCGGCGGGCTCTGTGGCGGGCGGATGGACTTGGAGCGCTTCAGGCTGTTGCCTTTGCTGCCGCTGCCCCCTCCGCTGCTCGCCAGGGAGTAGGAACGGCCGTGCATCATGACGGCGTTCATGCCGTTGGCCATGGAGAAGGATTTCAGGTGGCTCTTGATGGTGACCGGGAGAGGCAGCTTATCAATCAGGTGGACCGGCGTGCAGGAGACGATGGCCCGACAACAGAGGTCTTGGAGGCTGAACACTGGAAAGGGGCGGGGAGGTGGGGGGTGGGAAAAGGAGGAAAGAAAAAGGAAGACGGTCTCATTCTGGAAGGCTGAACACAAGGAGTCAAGAATATAGTCTAGGACGGTCTGGGGGTTAAGGCACCGGGCTAGAAACCAGACGACTGGGAATTCTAGTCCTGCTTTAGCCATGAAAGACAGCTGGGTGACTTTGAACCAATCACTAGGAGATCGTGAGTTCTAGTCCCGCCTTAGGCATGAAACCCGGCTGGGTGACTTTGAACCAATCACTAGGAGATTGTGACTTCTAGTCCCGCCTTAGCCATGAAAGACAGCTGGGTGACTTTGAGCCAATCACTAGGAGACTGAAAGTTCTAGTCCTGCCTTAGGCATGAAAGTCAGCTGGGTGACTTTGAGCCAATCGCTAGAAGATCGTGAGTTCTAGTCCCGCCTTAGCCATGAAAGCCAGCTGAGTGACTTTGGACCAATCACCAGGAGATGGTGAGTTCTAGTCCCGCCTTTGGCATGAAAGCCGACTTGATGACCTTGGGCCAGTCATTCTCTCTCAGCCCAACTCACTTTGCAGGGTTGTTGTGGCGAAAACAGGAGGAGGAAGAAGTCTCTGGAGAGAACCATTAAAATGGCTTCCCTGGCTAGAGATTGTGGGAAGACCAGCCTAGTTTAGAGGTGTCACGTATGTGAGAATGACCTTGAGGGACGAGGGGGAGAGGGACATTAGGGAAGGACCAGGTAAGAGAAGGGGGAGCCCTCCATGGCTTATTAGTCAGAGGAAGAAAACTAGGAGGGACCCGCCCTAACTTAGCAGATGTTGGGAGATTTGTACTATTAGGCTTGCAAGATTCTGTTAACTTAGCCTTATAATAAAGCAGAATCAGCTCCTCCCGTCTTGTTCCCTGTCTGGCTGACTTGGGAGGGTGACCAGAAGTGAGCAGACATGAGGTGGAAGGACAGCCCGGGCAGAATGTAGTCCAACTGGACAAGCTCTGGCAACCTCCAGCAAACAATTCTAACCTCCGACCTCTTCCCAACAGCTGGTCTGGGCTCTACAAGCAGAAGAGGTACATGACCGTGAGAACTGAAGACCTTGCATTTTCTGGTTCACTCAATGGGCTCAAGGGTGTGTTTCATGCAGCTGCCCCCCCCCCTTTGGAGATGGGATGTTTGCCCTGGGGCAGGCATTAAAGGGACAGTGATGTCCAGGCACGGCTTCTAAGCAGGCTTTACGCCAATATCTAATGCATCATCCCAAAACAAATCTAATGAGATCAACTGAAGCCAGATTACTACTAGTGAAGTAGAGATAAATTCACTTCCTTCCCTTCTTCCTCTTCTATGCCCCCTTGTACATCCATGTTCCTGGATTTACACCTAAGCAGCCAACTCAAGTACTTTGGCCACTTAATGAGAAGGACGGACTCACTGGAGAAGAACCTGATGCTGGGAAAGATGGAGGGCAAGAGAAGAAGGGGTCGACAGAGAAGGAGGTGGCTGGATGGAGTCACTGAAGCAGCAGGCGTGAGCTTCAATGGACTCCAGAAGATGGCAGAGGACAGGAAGGCCTGGAGGAACGTTGTCCATGGGGTCATGATGGGTCGGACGTGACTTTGCAACTAATAACAAGCCAACTAGCAGCCACTCTCCTGGTGCAGACCCTAAATGTTCCCCACTTTTCAATGTGTAGTTTGGCCTACGGGCCTCAAAACAAGAGGACAGGAGAGAACATTGCAACGTCCAGAAAAACGGACGTTGCTTGTGAATAGACTTTCCGTGAACAAGAAATTCATGTCCAGCCCAGAAATTAGGCACTGCCACCTTCTGGTTAAAAGATGAGCTGTACCTCAGAAGAAGACAAACAAGCTAGCTTGCCAAGAAACTTTTGCAAAAACTAAGATGGTCAAAATGATCACCAAGGCCCAAGCGTTTTAGGGTGTTAATTATGTATTAATCAAATCTTATTCGTCAAAATTCTTCTTGGCTGTGGGGGCCTGCCTTTATGGAACATCTTTCTCCCCTGAAATTAGATTAGCTTCATTTCTTTTGATATTCCACAAGGACCTCAAGAGACGGTTATGGTATCGGGCCCGGGGCTGCAAAGAAAGTGGAGATGTTCTTAGAAGTTTCCACTGCTGAGTTGGCTGTTTTTATTCCCTCTTTGTTTAGGTACATATCTTGTTTTTATAATATTTACTGTTAATGTGATTTCTATATATATATATATTTATATCCATGCTTTCGGTTTTACCCATGTTTTGTGTGTGTCTTTGGTGAGATGGGAACCATATACATTTGATTAAAGAATAAGTAGATAGCTAGCTAGTTAAATGGCCTTAATCTCTTGGAACCATTTGAACTCTCACAGGATGGCTCTTTTCATAAAGGATGCTATCGTTCACAGCTGTCTCCCAATCCAGTTCTTTATATAAAGGATTAAGAATTTGTTAAGCCAGTTTCTGCAGCTAAGTTAAAGGGTCAGCTTTGCTCCAAGGACATATGGGAAGGAGACACGACCTATAAGGCAAGACACAATTCTGAATACACTATTTTCTACCAACAAAAAAGAGTATTTGTGACTTAGGGCTGAACTGTGGGGTCCTTGGTGGTGCAGCTTGGTATTTTTCTTGAGGACGTTTCCTGACCCAACTAGGTAACGTCATCAGTGCTGCAAGGGAATGAGGTTTGTTTATACAACATTCCCAGCGACAATGACAGGGCGAGCCAGCCACTTGGATGTAAACAGAGGGAAAACTCCACTCTCTTCTTGCTCTGATGATGTGATCTAGTTGGTTGATGAAATGTCTCTGCGAGAAAACAACCAAGCTCAGAGGATACCTGCACAAAAAGGGAGGGAACTTAGGGGGGGGAGGGGAAACTAAATTTACTCACCTCTGTTGGGCCTCCAGATCTTCTCCATGCCATGTCTCATCAGCACAATGCGGGACAACTCGGTGAAGGACTCAATCACGTTGAAGTTGCACAACGGGCTGACTTCAAAGAAGGTCATGCAATTCTTCTCTGCGTAGGATCGGGCCTGCTCCGTGGGCACCTGCCGCTTGAAGGCCAGGTGAAGGCGGTTGCCCACCAAGATCCGGGGCACGCCAGGGGCATGCTTTAAGGAGACACAGAATAAAAGGGATGGATGTGGGTACTCGTGTGCCATCCATTAACTGTATCCGTAGCTTTTTGCAGTTGCAAATGATCACCCCAAAGGTGCTTTTCAAAAGAAGACTGGACTTCCCTAATTTTTTATTTTTTTTTAAGTTTTGCTTTCACCTGAGACGTTTCTTCACTTCTGGAACTGAAGAAGCTTCTTGGATGAGAAACGAAAACTGTTTTCAAAATAAAAAAGAAGAAAGAGAGAAAAAGAGAGGGGGAGAAAGAAAGAAAGAAAGGAAGGAAGGAAGGAAGGAAGGAAGGAAGGAAGGAAGGAAGGAAGGAAGGAAGGAAGGAAGGAAGGAAGGAAGGAAATCCAGTCACCTTTTGGAAAGCACCTTTGGGGTGATCATTTGCAACTGCAAGAAGATATGATACAGTTTATGGGGCAGGCATCCACCGGTTTAGCTTTTTGTTTTTTCTTCTCTCATTCCTTTCCTTTCCTTAGCTCTCTGTTTCTTACTCCTTTTTTTACACTTGGCATAAGGTTTTGCTGACCTCAACGTGGAACAGCGTGCATGTACCAAGGTAAGGTCAGCTTTACTGCATTTAAAAGTATTCAAAAGCCCCGGGTCGTAATGGCAGCCCCTGCTTACCTCATCAATTTCCTTGATCCATCGGTCTATGCCATCAAAAGACCAGCGATTGGTGATGTCATACACCAAGAGGATGCCCTGGGTGGAACAAAACACTCAATTGGTTGGTTGATCACATTTATATGGCAGCCCATCTCACAAGAAGTGACTCTGGGTGGCCTACAGCAGTGCCCCCAACGTTTGGGGCACCAGGGACTGATTCCGTGGAGAGGCGTGTTTTCACGTGCTGCCTGCATCCCACAGACGGGGCTACACTTCTTTGCGTGGCCTGGTTTCTGGCCAGTCCACGGCCCAGGGAGTGGGGACCTCTGGGCTGCAGGATGACTTTCACATTAAAGGACTGCAGAGGTATTTTGCAAAAACACCACTTCCTTATCACATCAAAGCATTACAGAGCTCCTTGGAACATTCCTGGAAGCAAGAGGCATGGATTGGGAGCCGCCCCCCCAATTCTGCCCATTGAAAAAAATTATTTTATTTATAGTCCAAAACCAGTAAATACATCAAATACTACAGGATTGGAAGAGATGCCTGAAACAGTGGCATAAGGAAGACACGGAATGACTTCCAAAGCGACAGGTAGAAATTGGGCAAGTTTCTTGGTGGGATCTGGAAATTGGTCGAATTAACGAAGAGGGTTTAACCTCGGGACCATACAGGAAGGCACACATTTCCTTATTACTGGTGCTATGAAATCCATTTTTCAATGAGAGTACAATAAGGCATATGGGACAGACATTCTACCTCCGTATTAGCAGATACATACATGTGGTTTTCATAACAGAACTTTATTGTCATCCTAAAAGGTAGGATACCCATTTCGACCAGGGGGAATTTTTTTACCTATAAATTTTCTCTAAGTTGGTCTGTCCCTAACTTGGTCCTTTAGGTCTTTCAAAGGTCTTTCCACCTTGCTGCTGGTCACCTTCTCCTTCTTTCTACCTTTCCAAAGATTTAACTTCTCTGGGTATTTTATGGCTTTCCATAAAATTTATTATATACTACCAACTCAGCTCTTAGCAAGCACCATTGCTGGATCTTCTCCAGGAGGATCTGTCCCTACTTTGGTCCTTCAGGTCTTCTAATGGTGCCCACCATAACTGAGTCTCTCCACCATGCTGCTAGTCCTCCTCTTCTAACCTTTCTTCCACCTTTCCCAGAATTGCAGCCTTCCCCAGACAGCTGGGTCTTTACCTGATGTGTGCAAAGTAGGATATTTTGAATGTCGTACTTTGTGCCTCAAGTGTGAACTCTGGCTTGATTTATTCTCGGACCCATTTGTTTGTTTTCTTGGTCTTCTCAGAAGTCTTCTGCAACCCCAACGTTCAAAAACATCAACACTCTTTCTCTCCTGCTTCTTCAAAGCCCATTCATTCCAATGTGGCCCTCAGATTACATCACCATTAGAAACAGTAGGTCAAAACATTCAGAGGGCGCAAAATTATCTCTTCTACCCTGAGCTAAAGCATTTTGAGGATCTCAGAGGAAGCTGGGTGATTTAGAAATGGTAAAGATAAATATATAAAAATTGTCCCAAAAGAGACATCTGCCTTTTCTCACTCTTTTCCATAAAATCCCGGGTATCAAGAAGCTCTTAAGCAATGATTCCAAGAAGCATTTTTCTTCAAGCTCTTGCCTATTCGGAGGAAAAAATAGCAGTAGGATTTAATATTGCTAGTGGGACTCACCTGGGCTCCTCTGGAGTAGGATCGGAAGATAGTACAGAATCTGCCTTGGCCAGATGTGTCCCTGGAATAGAGAGGGGGGGGGAGTGGAATCAGAAGCACAGAGGCTTTGAAAAGTTTCTTCACCCCACCATAGGATGTGTGAGGCAGGTGCACTAACACTGACAGGACAAGCACTAGAATATAAACGGAGAGCAAACCTCAGTCTCTTCTAGCACGGATATTGTTACCTAGTTGGGCAATGAAACATCTGCAAGAAAACTGCTAAGCTCAGAGAGCCCCAAGGATCCCTCATTTTAACCCCGACTACAAATATTCTCCTTTATCGGCCTCTTAGATATAAGTATGGGGGGGGGATAACTAAAGACAATCTAGTCCTAAGCCTATAAAAAAACCTATTCTTTCCTCTCTTGTGTTTTTGTTCCAGACACTGTCTTTATGCAAGGATCATACAATGAATTAACAAGTATTTGTTAATTGAAATATTTTACAATGCCTGAATATGCCTTTGTATCTTCTAGATGATAGATAAATCAATAGATAAATCGACGAATAGGTAGGTAGGTAGGTAGATTATAGAGGTAGGTAGGTAGGTAGGTAGATAGATAAATAGATAGATAGAGGTAGGTAGACAGATAGGTAGGTAGATAGATGATAGATAGGTAGGGAGATAGAGGTAGGTAGATGATAGATAGGTAGGGAGATAGATGATAGATAGGTAGGGAGATAGAGGATTGGTAGGTAGGTAGATAGAGGATAGGTAGGTAGGTAGGTAGATAGATTAGGCAGGCAGGCAGGCAGGCAGGCAAATAGAGGTAGGTAGATAGATAAGTAGGTAGGTAGGTAGATAAGTAAGTAGGTAGGTAGATAAATAGGTAGGTAGATAGATAAGTAGGTACGTAGGTAGATAAGTAGGTAGGTAGGTAGATAATGTAAAAAATATCCTATCAGCTTTGGGAGAGCAGAGGGCTTTAATGCCTTTACCTGGTCATCCATATTAAACCAGGTTTCAGAGTTCACTAACATGTCATTCACTAACGCAGATCACTGTTCCCCCTTGTATTCTTACCCGCCATTCTTTTCAACCCTATCAGAAATGATACTCAGATTGCTGCTTCATTTTGTAGTTAGACTAGAGAAATCAAGACTTATTCATAAATGGCCCACAAGCTTTGGCCAAACAAGTAGCTTTTTTTTTTTTCCCCCTCCCCTGGGCCTCTTTTGGAGGTTCCAACAGTACAGAAAGTGCTCTGTGCTTTATTTTGTAAGTTATAAAAACAAATCTCCTTCTGTCCAGAAAACGGTGGGGCCCAGCAATCAAGGTTGAGGGCAGAGGCCAACGGCACATCACACGGTGCTTACAACCGTGTTTACTTAGGAGTGCAGCGTGTTCCGTAGTAAACAGATGCAGGGTGCCTTAAGGATACCAGCTGCCTCCACGCGCACATCCATGTTTTTTGTTGCGCCTTTGAATTTACCTAAATATTGGAGCGCACCAAGGGGCATCACCAGACATCTGTGGTGTGACGGGGAGGGCCGTGCGCCACGGGGCCAGTCCCTCCTCAAATGCGAGCCGAGGTGAGGCTCCGTTGGGCTGCGGATCACAACATGGCGCTTTGAATCCCGGCTGGGTTTTTAAATGATCTTGGAGGAGCACGAAACAAGCGGCCGGGAGCCTCATTAGCCGAATTTCCTAGATGGGGTTTTCTCTGCCGTCGGATTTTCTGGATCGCAAAACCGGGGGAACTGCCACACTTACTCAATCGGTGCTCGTTATTGTGGAAGGAGGCATTTGAGCAAATATTTCCTAGCAAGTGTCTTGTCTCTGCCAAGGCAGCACTGTATGCAAGCAGGCCTTGACTCAGAAGCGTTTGCTTAGCGCAGGGGTCTTCAAACCTGGCCCTTTGATGACTTGTGGACTTCAACTCCCAGAATTCCTCAGCCAGGCACGCGTGCCTGGCTGAGGAATTCTGGGAGTTGAAGTCCCCAAGTCATCAAAGGGCCAAGTTTGAAGACCCCTGGCTTAGCGACTGTTCAAAGTTATGGCAGGGCCGTCACCAGCATTTTGACCTCTATGTTTAAAAACCAGAGAGAGAGACTCATTATTTCTTCTCTTGAAAACGTTTTCCTCCTTTTCTTTAGAATATTTATTCAGATATTGTTTAGTGAGCCAGTCTGGTCTAGTGTCTCGTCCAGTCTAGCACCAGACTAGAAACCAGGAGGCTGTGAATTCTAGTCCCACCTCAGCCATGAAAGCCAGCTGGATGACTTTGGGCCAATCACCAGCAGACGGTGAGTTCTAGTCCTGCCTTAGGCATGAAAGCCAGCTAGGTGGCTTACAGGATTGTTGTTCTGGGGAAAATAGATGGAGGAAGAAGTATTAGGCCTGTTCACTGCCTTGAGTTGTTTATAAAAAAATAAAATAAAATAAAGACAGGACATTAAAAAAAAATAAGAATAAACAGTAAACTTGTGGGCTAGGTTTCCCAACTTTTAGTGTTTGACATTGCACAAAATCTTGCTTTCTTGTAAGATACCATTCATTATAATAATAATGGAGGGGAGATTCAACATAAGCTAATTCATAAGATAAACTAATATTACTTCATATGAATTACACCACAACTAAAATAGATTTTAATAACTATATAAAGTTGCAGATTATCTTAGTGCGTTCAGGTTCTTGAAATATTTATGTAATTTATGTAGACTCACCAGAGCTCCAGTTTGACCCTTCTGCCATCTAACAGAATTGTTGTGGTTTTGTAATCAATTCCTGCAATGAAGAGATTGGAAGTAGGGTTATATAAATAATAGCCTATGGACATATATGCTATTAAAAAAGAATATATGCTATTAGAAAAGGACTGGGGGGGGGGACACACGATAGCAATATTCCAGGATTTGAGAGGTTGCCACAAGAAGGGGGGGGGGTCAATTTATTCTCCAAAGCACCAGAGGGAAGGACGAGAAACAATGATTGGAAACTGACCAAGGAGAGAAGCAACCTGGAATTAAGGAGAAACTTCCTGACAGTGAGGACAATTAACTAGTGGAACAGCTTGCCTCCAGATGTTGTGGGTGCTCCATCACTTGAGATTTTTAAGAAGAGACTGGATAGCCACTTGTCTGAAATGGCATAGAGTCTCCTGCTTGAGCAGGGGGCTGGACTAGAAGACCTCCAAAGTCCCTTCCAGCTCTATTCTGATTGATCCTTAATACCATGGTGTCATCAGTGAGACAGTACTTTAGTGCTAAGGAGAAAAAAAATTGCCATCTTGAGAGGCTTACTACCTAAAATTTTGAAAAAAAAAATGGAAATAAATAAGAAAATGATATGTAGGTTTTCTCAATTATGTGAAGTTATGCTCCATAATATTCCTAGCTACTATGTTTCCCCCAAAATAAATGCCAACTGGAATACAAGCCCTAGCATGATTTTCCAGGACGCTTATAATATAAGCCCCACCCCAAAAATAAGCCCCTGTTAAGATCTGCAGCCAGAAGAATGCATTGAGTACCGTATTTCCCCCAAAATAATACCTAACTGGAAAATAAGCCCCCAGGCGTCTTTTGGAGCAAAAATATAAGATCTGGTCTTATTTGGGGGGAAACACAGTATTATAAACAGGTTTCCTTCTTCAAAATTTGGAAGAGGGAAATATTTTGAATAAGTTGGAAACAAGGTTAGATGTGAGGAAGAGAGAAATCTTTGCATGTCTGACCTAGATCTTGCGAGCCACATTCTATTACAGCTCTATATTTAGTACAAGGGTTACATGTGTGCGTGTGCATGTGTGTATGTGTTTAAAAAGGGAAAGGTTTCCAGCTTCTACCAGATCTTCAAAAATTAGTATCCAATTCATAAAAGCAATGCATGTTTTTGCAAGGAGCTAAAGTTTACCACTATCATATATACCCAAATATTTAATAAAATGAGAATGAAGTATCAACACTAAACCAAAACTTTCAGTGTCCTGCCGCAGAACCGTTTCAGCAATGTTAGAATCCTGCACATTGTATTAATAGTTTCAACTGGTCATCTCTTTTTCTACCCCTCTGAATATTTAATCTGCATAGTTCTTAGCAGAAACAGGTCTTTATTGGACAGATTCAACATTTTGTTAATTGGCTACTTTTTAATGCCTCACATTCTGCCTTCCGGGAGATTAAGGGCCATTTCTTTTGACAACTTAAACCTTTAATTAAGTAACATCAGTTGGATAAATAAATAACATTTATAGACTCAGTGATCTGATTGGCACTTTGCACCATGCCAAGATAGCCGTGGGCTGCCTAAGGTTTGTGGAATTAAAGGACGAGTACCTTTTGCTAAGCAAAATAAACAAGTTTCAATATTTTGATTGCAAACCTGAACTTTTCATCTGGGTGACTCTAATCTCATCTTAGCATCTTACTAGTATAATTCAGGACATGACCTGCTCACAGGACACACTTAAGTGTCTTCTATTAGTACGACTACTATGAGCATCCCATGTTAGGAGCTACTATTGTTCAGATTACTAGAAATCAGCCTATACTTCTGGAGAGTTTCTGGCAGTTTACCTACCAGTAAAATCCAATAACTATTTTCCATAAAAGCAACCTTTTAATATTTTTCTCACCTACCCAGGAAGTCCCTGAAAAACCAACAGCTATTCAGAGGAAAGAAGCTGAGACATTCTAAGCTGCATTACCAAATTCAGGATGTCAACATTGCTTAATCCACGGCAGCCTTCCTTCACAATCAGCTAACCACGAGGTTGGCTGTTTCACTTAAACAAATCGAACACAAGTGCTGGATTTGAATGAAGTGGTAAATGCCGCCAGAACTGCACAGAAGACCAAAATCCAGGCAATTAACAGGTAGTCCCCGATTTGCGACAACTGAGCCCAAAATTTCTGTTGCTGAACAAGACAGTTTCTAAGTGAGTTTTGCCCCATTTCACGGCCTTTCTAGCCACAACTATTAAGTAAACCACTGCAGTTGTTAAGTTAGTAACCTGGTTGTTAAGTGAACCTGGTTTCCCCATTGACTTTGCTCGTCAGAAGGGGATCACGTGACATCCCCCCCGGGACATGGCAACTGTCATAAATACAAGTCAGTTGCCAAGCGTCCGAATTTTGATCACATGACTACGGGGATGCTGCAACGGTTGTAAGCGTGAAAAATGGCCATATGTCACTTTTTTCAGTGCCGTTAACTTAAGTCGATGACTATATTTTAAGAGCTACCTGATCAATTCACGCCTGCAAAGCAAGGCCTCCATAAAATTCACTGCAACACTGAATATCCTTTAAAAAAAACACAATCATTTTCCAAGCGCTACAGCAATTCCATTAATTTGATGGAAACAAATTCAGAGTTTTTCCTTATGCCAATGCAGATACCCTTCTCCAGGGGGTTGAAATCTTGGACGGCTCACCTGCAGAATAACAAATAACAGAGTTGGAAGGGATTTTGGGGGGGGGGGCTTCTAGTCAACCCCCCCCCCTGCTCAACAGGACACCCTGTATTTGTCATTTCAGACAAATGGTTGTCCAATCTTTAAAAAAAAAAAAAACCTTCAGAGTTGGAACATCCACAATTTCTGATTTGTTTCAATTTTATTAACTGTTCTCACTGTCAGGAAATTTCTCCTTAGTTCTAGGTTGCTTCTCTCCCTGATTAGTTTCCATCCCTTGCTTTTTGTCCTGCCCTCAAGTGCTTTGGAGAACAGCTTGACCCCCTCTTTTTTGTGGCAGCCCCTGAGATATTGGAAGACTGCTATCGTGTCTAGTCCTTCTTTTCATTAAACGACAGACATAGGCAGCTATTTATATTTTTCAAATCCGCAGACACTTACTGTAGCCATACCATCAACACCCTGTTTAGGTTAGCCCCGTGTATCGCAATAACTGGCAGCTACAAGAAACATTGCAAAGGGTGTGAAAGTAACTCAGACGTTGTCGCTTTGGCAAGTCTGCACAGTGCTAACAGGAAAAAACCACACTTCCAAAACTCAGATCTCAGGGAAATATGGAAGCTGTTATCCCATTTCACTTTATAGTAGCTTTTTTCCCCAGAAGCTTTTCTATATAAGGGACTGGTGGATCCCCCCCCCCTTTTTTTTTCTTTTCTTTTTTGAATCCTTAACTTTGATACGATCTCCCCCGTTGCAGGCAACGGCTCTGGGTTTCAAGCTCCCTCCCTTGCACGCCGCTGCAATTTTAAGATTGCACGGTACCTATTTTAATCCTATTACAAATAAGGGAGCACTTTTCAGCACCAAGTCTTTCATGACAGCTGCTTTTAGGTTTGAAAGCCTATCAGGCCAGTTCAGACCAGTTGGCAAAGCGGAAAAGTGGACTGCTCAAATATGCTTGATTAAACCTGACATCGAAGCAAACAAGGCAGATTTGACCTGACTAGACCGCTAGAGGGCGCTGCAGCATAAAAACTTACACACTCCCTGGAAGTTTGTTGTTATTATGTGAATGTTTTGGTATGTTTCTCTTTCGTAGTTTTAATTTTGTATCTTCGTTTTTTTGTGTGTGTTAAACTAAAACAGCAGTGTATTTTATCTTATAACTGTATCCATATTAAAAAGAGTTGTAACTTTTTTTAAAAAAAATATTATTTTGGATGGGTTATGTCCCTTTTTCAACTTCCTCTATTGTCCCTCTCTCCCAGTTTTTCCCTTTACGCTGTAATTTCGCATAACTTTTTTTATTTTTGAAACTTAGTAAAATTCTTTTTTTTTTTTAAAAAAAAAATCCAATCACAAAACACCACTTCTGCGGGAAAACACAGTATGTATACAATTAATACCATACCCTCAAAACTTCCCTGATTTTACTAAGCAGGCTAGTCTTTCTCAGCCACAAGGATTTGGGAAGAAAAATTCAAAAAGAGAGTTTCGTACACAATACCTAGATAGGACAGAAATCTAAGATATAAATAAAATTCTAGGCATAGACCTAATGAGAGTTCTTAGATCTAGATTTAAGAATGCAAAAAAAAAGCCTGCACTGCTGATCTGCATCTAAGAGGCCTCTGATCAGAATCAAAACTGTAATAATGTTCAAATGTTACTAGCCTTCACTCGGGGTGTAAAACCAATTTCCTTTTTATTGCTTATCTTTCCTCTAACACCAGAATTTAACACTGGAATTGTGCTTTTAGACAAAAAATATATATGTTATTTAGCTATTCTAATATGAGCCAGCAGTGTGCTGCAGCTGCCAAAAAAGCCAACACAGTGCTAGGTTGCATTAACAGAGGGATAGAATCAAGATCACGTGAAGGCTTAATACCACTTTACAATGCCTTGGTGAGGCCACACTTGGAATCCTGCATCCAGTTTTCGTCACCACGATGTAAAAAAAGATGTTGAGACTTTAGAAAGAGTGCAGAGAAGAGCAACAAAGAGGATCAGGGGACTGAAGGCTAAAACATATGAGGAATGGTTGCTGAAATTGGGTATGTCTAGTTTACTGAAGAGAAGGACCAGGGCGGACATGATAGCAGTCTTCCAATATCTCAGAGGCTGCCCCAAAGAAGAGGAAGTCAAGCTATTCTCCAAGGCGCCTGAAGGCAGGACAAGAAGCAACAGATGGACACTAACCAAGGAGAGAAGCAACCTAGAACTAAGGAGAAATTTTCTGCTAAGAGCTGTTCAGTATTTTAAACAGATTATTGAAAACGTTGAGAGAGTACTTATGGGATAGACAGATTTTAAAGCATCCAATTACAGCATGATTTTCGCAGAAGAATGAAAGAGTAATTTTCCCGAT